GGCAGATACGGATGGCGGACAACTCCATCCACAAAACTGCTTTTCGAACTCGGTACGGATCGTACGAGTATTTGGTCATGCCGTTCGGACTCACCAACGCGCCGGCAACGTTCCAAGCCGAAATGAACCACATTCTACGACCACTTCTGGACGAATGCGTGGTGGTGTACTTGGACGACATACTCATCTACTCGCGCGACATGAAGCAGCACGTCGAACACCTGCGACGCGTCTTCGAAATTCTTCGACGAGAACGATTTTACGTCAAACTGTCCAAGAGCGAATTCGCCCTGGAGAAGGTCCAATTTCTAGGCCACCTGGTGAGCGCTCAAGGAGTTCACGTCGACCCCAAGAAAGTCGAAGCCGTACGTACGTGGAAGACACCCGAGAACGTGAAGGAGTTGCAGCAGTTCCTAGGCTTCGCTAATTACTACAACAGGTTCGTGCCACAGTATGCAAAACTCGCGGCACCACTCACGAATCTGCTGAAGAAGAACACGCCCTACAAATGGGAGACGAAGCACCAGGAAGCCGTGGAGCAGCTGAAACAAGCACTAACGTCCGCACCGGTGCTCATCTTGCCAGATCCTGAACGTGACTACGTCATTGAAGCAGACGCCAGTGATCAGGCCGTGGGTGCAGTCTTGATGCAAGACCAGGGGAATGGACTGCAACCAATTGCCTACCTCAGCAAGAAACTGCACGGGGCAGAACTCAACTACCCAATACACGACAAAGAGGCTCTTGCTATCGTCATCGCCTTCAAAGCGTGGAGATGCTATCTCGAAGGACGAAGAACGACCGTCTACACCGACCACTGCAGCCTGAAATATTTGAAGACACAACCCAACCTTTCCAGGCGGCAGGTCCGGTGGATCGACTTCCTCGAGACACACTTCCACTACGACATCGTGTACAAGCCCGGCCACAAGAACAAAGCAGACGCTCTCAGCCGGCCTGCACACGTTGCCGCGATTCAGGTCGAAGGGATGAATCCACTACTCAAGGGACTCTTCACCCACGGGTACGCCATCGACCCCGAAATTCCATTGGCAGAAAAGCGACATCTGCTACAGTGGGACAGTGACATCGCGTACCGGAAGGGATCCACAAAAATCTGGGTACCCAATTACCCTCCTTTGCGCCAGTTACTACTCGAAGAATACCACGACGTCCTGTACGCCGGACACTTCGGTAGCAACAAGACGCTCACCGGTATCGCCAAACACTACTACTGGCCCCATATGGCAGACGACGTCCAGAAATTCGTCACCTCGTGTGATACATGTCAGCGGATGAAGAGCAGCAAGCAGAAAAAGGCGGGACTACTGCAGCCTCTTCCTGTCCCAGAACAACCATGGCAAGTGGTTAGCCTAGATTTCATCACCGGGTTACCACCTACCTCCAGCGGTCATGACGCCATCCTTGTCGTCATTGACAAGTTCTCCAAAATGGGACACTTCATCCCGACACACACGACGGCACGCACCGAGGAGACAGCACAGCTCTTCGTTCGTCACATCATCTCACAGCATGGCATCCCAACTACACTCATCTCCGACCGAGACCCCAAGTTCACTAGCAAGTTCTGGAAGGAACTTATGTCTCTGCTCGGCACCAAACTCGCCATGTCATCCGCATACCATCCGCAGACAGACGGACAGACCGAGCGCCTCAACCAAATTGTTGAGCAACTCCTCCGAGCAGCCTGCAAGGACGACATCTCCAAATGGGACTTGCACCTGCCCGTACTCGAGTTTGCTTACAACAATGCTACACATGCTGCTACTGGACAGACGCCGTTCTTCCTCTGCTACGGACGCCACCCACTCACACCACAAAAACCGACAGCATCACCTACAGTCCAACCCGCACATGATTTCATTACAACCATGCATCAACTTTGGGATCGGACCCATAAGCGCCTCCTTGACATTCAACAGCAACAGAAGCGCCAGGCCGATCGCCATCGCAACGACCACACCATTTCCGTGGGAGACCAGGTTCTCCTTGACACCCGCAACCTGGACATCAGCCATCTCCCATCTAAACTGCGACCTCGCTTCTGCGGGCCTTTTCTCGTTGAAGCACAGGTCACTCCTGTTACCTTCCGCTTACGCCTGCCAGCTACCTGGAAGATTCACAACGCCTTCCACGTCCAACTCCTGAAGCCCTATCGGGACCCGAACACAATTTTCGTCGGACGCCAGCCGCCGCCGCCGCCGCCCGTCCTCGTCCAGAACGAACCCGAGTACGAGGTCGAGTCCGTGCTTGCACATCGTCGTCGTCGGAATGGCACCGTGGAGCTTCTCATCCGTTGGAAGGGTTATGATCCTTCTGAGGACAGCTGGGTCTCTGAGTCCGACATGGGTAACGCCCGTCGTCCTCTGCATGACTACCTTGTCAAGCAGGGTGTTACTTCTACCACCCAGCTTTGAGGGGGGGAAGTGTGAGAGTACGCCTCCGTTACACCACTTGGCCTTTTCCATATTTCATCTTCATTTCATTCCTCTTTTTATCTCATCGCCTTTTGCCTCATATTCCCCATTTTCCATTATCCTTTGGTTTCCTCCTTTATTATTATTATATCACCGACCAGGCATGGAATGTTCTAGACACGCTATCTAGCGTAATCCTGACGTAATCTCTTAAAGCCAATAGCCTCGCGTGGCTATACGCAGGGTGATTCTATCTTCTAGAAGGGTCTATTCCCTTAGGATAAGATAAACCTGGTTACTTGATGTACTCTGGAAGTATAAAAGCGCCTTGTACTGATCGATAGTGCAACCTTTCCTCGACACATTCGATCCTGTGACATCAGCTAGCTTGACATAATCAGGGGCGGCAAGCGGCGTGAGCGCAGTGTGGTCGTAGAAGAAGCAAGCAGATGCACCAGAGTCGAGCGTGAAAGAGAGCGAAGCGGTGGCGGCAGCCGGTGGAGGGGCTAGCGTTTAGCCTAGCCTAAACAAGGCAGACGGTCCTACGCCTGATGCAGCAGGGGAGCCTATACTACACACAGATGGCACCCCCACACTATGCAACACAGGGTAATAGGATGTGGGAACAATAGAGTCATGAGCATACATGGCATGCAAGGTAGAGAAAATCTCATCCATATCCATCTCAAAGACCGGAACATGGTGGTGTACCAGACTGAGCTAGTCGGAGATGTCCTGCTGCCGGTGGAAGCAGCGGGCGGCAGTGTGGCTGGGACGGCCACACACAGTGCCGTGGAAGGGGCCAGTTTGGAGCTGGTACTGGCAACCTACAGAGCCGAATCTACCACCCGCCGCCGATCTGCGAGGGCCGACACGGCGGCCACCACCACCAGAGGCACCGGGCCACCCCGGCAGGAGGCGGCCCCACTGCTCCGACTGCTGCTGCGACTGCATCTGCTGCTTCTGCTGCTACTGAGGCTGCTGCTGCTGCTGCTCCGGGGCACCAGCCCCGGTCCCCTCGTTTGAACCATCGTCCCCGCCCCCACCTCCACCACCTCCACCACCCTCACCACCCTTCCCTCCGCCACGCCCCCCTTTGGGGCGGCGACTCCTACCCAGACGCGACTGCGCTGAGGCCGCAACAGCTGTCTCAACGGCAGGGGCTGTCTCAGCGACAGCGGCAGAAACGTCAGAGTAAGTGCACTAGGAGGGAGCACAGCCCTGAAAGTTAGGGACAGCCGCAGTACCGCTAGACTGAGCGATAGTGCAAGGGCGGGTCTCTATCTCGGACAGGGCTGTGACGAAGGTGGTAAGGGTGAGGTCACCAAGGTGCTGACTAAGGAAGTGGTCGCGGGCAGTGGCAAGGCGGTCCGGGAGGCGTGTGGCAAGGAGGTACAGGGTAGCGCAAAGTGGCAGCGGGAATGCAGTGAGCTGGGCCTCAGTGCTAGCGGAGGTGAGTGACAAGGTCAGCGACAGTGGGGAAGGACGCAAGATCAGGGAATAGCATGGGGAGGATCAGGCGGCCAGCAGAGGCTGTGGCGGGCGTGGAATAGTGTGCAACGACTGCATCTAAGAATTCCTTGGCTTTCACTACAGTGGTAAAGCGGGGAGGCTCAGACAGGGGGAGGGCGTGACTCATAGCAAGCTGCGCTACGGCGTCGCGCGACTCCTAGACAGCACGAGCAAGCGCAGCAGCGGAAAGGGCCTTACGCTAAGCAGGGATGGGGGCATCAGGGAGGGCAGCAGGCGCGGCGGGACGGGGAAGCAGACCATCGACATGAACAGCCATAGAGTACCCGTACTGGTGCTGACCTGTCAGGTGACGGCGAAGGTCGACGAGCCAGGCCTCAAAGTCGATCGCCTAACCCTCTGCGTCTAGGCGTAGCACAGCGTCCGCCATCCCACGACCTCAGCGCCTGACGGCGGCACAGTGGCACGGCTGTACAGCGGCACGGTGAGCTGGGGGCCAGCTAGTGAGGGGCCGGCTAGTAAGGGGACGGCGAGCTGGGGGCCGGCGAGCTGGGGGGCTGGCTAGCTACGGGCCGGTGAGCAAGGGGCTGGGGAGCTCGGGGCCGGCTAACGAGGGGCCAGCGATCTAGGGGGCCGGTCCGCGCGGGGCCAGCGAGCGCGGAGCCGGCGAGCGCAGGCCAGCGAGCGCGGGGCCAGCGGGCGTGGGCCAGCGAGCACGGGGCCAGCGGGCATGGACCAGCGAGCGCGGGGCCGGCGAGTGTGGGCCAGCGAGCACGGGCCAGCGAGCGCCGGGGCGACGAGCGCTGGTCAGCGAGTGCGGGGTGACGAGCGGGGCCCACGAGCGCGGGGTGACGAGCGGGGCCTGCAGGCTAGGACTAGGGCTAGGACTAGAGCTAAGACTAGGACTAAAGCCTCCGTAGTACCCTCCCTAGAGAGAGAGAAGGTTCAACAGAGCTATCCCAATGCCACGACAGTATCAAACTGGACGTAGTTTGGCCAGATGCACATCCAATTGGACAAACCCCCCAATAGTTGTGACTCAGTTTCCAAGAGTAATTTGGATCTGGGCTTCCATGCTTCCATGAGCAAACATGCTTCCATGCATTAACCATCTCTCCTGAAAGTACAAGAACACAGCTAAGGGTGGAGGATCTAGAATCCATCACACAAAGAATCATTGGCATGGCACCCAACCTCTACCTAAAGCTAGCTGATTTATGGAAAATAGCTCTTGCATCAAACTACCAACCACGATCTGCATTCGCAGGTGCTAGTTGCCATTGCCAGCTGCATTGGTCTGCTGAGGCCCATACACTTGGCGATACACCTGCTGGTTGTATGCATCTCTCTCTGCCTTCCTCTTTGCCTCCGCTGCCTTGAGCCTCTTCTTCAGCTCAGCAGGAGCCGCCAGCTGAGCCACACCCTGACCCACGCCCTCCCAGTACGTCGTGCCCTGATCCGCATAGTACTTTCCGCTCTGCTGATTCATGTCTTGCCCCCAAGATGAACGGTTTCCATCACTGTCATCATCATCGTCATCGTCATCATTGTCATCATCATCATTATTGTTGCTGTTGCTGGTAGGCGTGCTGGTGGAGCCACCCCCACCACCATTGGGGGATTGGTTGTCGGTCCAGAAGGCACAGGAGAAGTCAATCTTCACCCAGCCTCTGCGCATAGATAAAGAACCACACCAGCAGAATATGATACAAATCGGAGAGAAGCAAGTGGCAGCACAAGTGAGAGAGAAATGATGGTCCGATGAGCAGCAAATGCAGCTGAGTGGCTGGGAGGGTCAAAGGGCAGCGGGGCGTACGCGTTAGAGCCGTGATATCCAATGCCCTGGTTGCCGGTGCTGTACGCCCAGATGATGTAGTTCAGCCCGGAAGGCGTGAGCGGAATGCGCCCCTGCCCCGCCGTCAGTGTGAAGCTGTGCAGAGACACAAAGCGCCAGGGAGAGAGAAAAACACACACACGCTCACCATGTCGCCAGTTGGATGGTGAGGCTCAATCAGGCGACTTTGAGCAAAACGAAACAACGAAGGCATTCGTTATAGAGTGCCTTTTGTAAGGCAGTGCAGCACCAGGCCCTGTGGTTCAAACTGCTTACTGTGCAACGAGGGAGCCCGCGCTCGTGCGGGCGAGGCTCGGCGCGCCGAGCGAGATCTCGTTCGTAGGCACGACGTTCTTGCGCTTGTAGCCGTTGATGAAGTACGCGGCCAGGGAAGCCCCGCTCTTGATCACCGCGTAGCTGGACGACATAGACCCGTCGCGCGACCACCCGATGCTGAACCACCCGTTGGACGCGGCGCTCCCTGCCTTAGCCTCCATGGCCATCTGAATCATCTGCCCCTGCACAGGCTTCCAGTGAAGCACGAAACTGGGACGAGGGGCGGAAGAAGAAAGCGGAGTCAGCGACGAAAGCGCAGCGCGGACGGGTGGGGTATCCGAGGGTGGACAAGTGCGTGTGCTGAGAAACGAAGGCCGTGCGAAGAAAGCGGTTTCAGCGACGGGCCACACTTGGCCGCCATTGCCGAAGCATAAAATCATCCCGACGAAACGTCTAAGACATGCGAGTCTACGCCCGAAGAGACGTTCTGGGTAGGTGCAACCATACAAGCCTAACTGCTTCCGCGGGTTCCGTTTTATACCTGCCACCGTCGAGGTTAGCGGTGTAGGTATATCCGGGGAGGCTGGACTTGGGGCAGTAGCTGACGGCGGGCGCGGCGGACGCGGCGGGAACATTGGCGGAGGGGGCGTAGATCCCGCCGTTGTTGGCGCCGTCCAGAGTATCGGTCGCGGGCGCGCCGCCCACGCAGCCCAGGTTGACGGCGAGCTTGCCACTGGAAAAAAGCGACGGGACAAGCGATGGAGTGATGATGGGTAGAGACGATGCCAAGGGGGGAGAGTTGAAGGCACGGATTAAAAATGCCGCGAGGATGGGGCGTGCAGGGTGCAATTTTTAAGAAGCGGGGCCCAAGGAGCACAAGAGAAAGTGTCCAAAGAGGAAAAAATGTGAGACAGCGACTACTACGAACCGCGCAATCAATGGTGCTCTTCGTACAAATGGATTACGTTACTAGAATGCGGTTATCGAGGGAAGAAATCGAGCGCGTCGCGCTCGAGCCAGCAAACTCACGATCTACGGTTGTTGAAATCCACCGTCTTCTCGCCGCTGACATCATACGCCCACACGATATTATTCCACCCGCGCAGCTTCAACGGCGAAACGCCGTCGCCGCCGTTCCGCGTGAAGCGTATAACGGTCCGCCGCCGAGACCGCTCCAGCGTTGCATCCCCGATGGCGAAGCTGTTGGACCGCAGGAGCTGGGACTGCTCGTCGCCCGTGATGGTGTATGTCGCGACGGGAGCCGTGTTCGTTTGCCCGACCACGGTGTCGGCAGAGCCCCCGGGGAGGGTCGGCCCGAAGCCGAGCGCAATCCAGCCCTTGGCGGCGCCGCTTCCCACGCGCGCCTCGACGGCGAGCTCGATGGTGTTGCCGACTGCGGGCTTCCAGTGGAGCAAAAGGCTGTGCGGTAGAAGAGAGGAAGGAGGGAAAGCAGGGAGCAGGGGAATCGGGGGAACCAGGAACAAATATTATAGGGGATGATAATCGAATGGATAGCGGCGTCGATTCGGGGGGCAGGAGAGAAGGTCCGATGATAGCGGGGAAAGAGAACATCTCTGGAAACAGGAGGCAACCAAAGGTAGGGGGTTTCCAGCCACCTTCGTCGAACAGGTGCTCGAAGCCTACGCACCCTCTCTTGAGAACCCTGGACGACGTGAAACCGGTCAGTTGCGACGGCATGCACGTTTTCGCTTGCATGGATCGCCGCTTCGCTCCTTTCTCGCCACGGCCGATGTGTGGCGAATGGGCGCCCGCGTGCGCCGCTTGGATAATCGCCAGAGCTGCTGCGAGCAGCAAGACGAGTCTCAACACAGGAGAGATTTCATAAAGCCGCCGCTCGCTGTTGGTGCCCATGGCAAGAAACTAGGGCCTCAGAAGATCAAAGTACAGCAGCAAGGACGTGGGAGTGAGGAGGCGATGATACGAATGGGGGCAACTGGGAAGGTCGCTGCTCGAGTGGGAGGTGACACTGCAAAAGGTTCTGCTGAGCAGTGAGTACTGAGAAGGCTATGACTGAAGGAGGTGAGAATGTGGGGGGAAGTGATGAGTAGGGCGCAGGCGCTGCAGTTTTTATTGTGCCGGTGCTCCACAACTCCAGCGAATGTGACCGTCGCCAAAATCCTGAACGTGACGAGAGTCGAGACGCTGCAAGAAGATGGCAGGTTCCATCGTGGTCAGGCTTGCACCTATGCGGCTCGTCTGGCCCCTGTACGCCTCGATCGGAACCGTCGGATAGGAGATCGATTCGAGGCGGCTCGTCCAGGAGCCTTCGACATAAGGCGGGAGCTGGCGTGTGCCTCTACCGAGTGCGCTTGACGGCGAATAGCCAGTGCGCGAGCGCCATGTGTAAATTGCCCTCCAATCTTGTGCGACTGGGAGATGTATCGCCAGCTGTACAATCCTCCCAAGCCAGCAACGTTTTGCCGTTCACATGCCTATTCCGGAATAAATTGTCTGTATTCCAAGAGTCATGGTCTCAGCCCTTTCTCCAGCAGTTTGGAGGCGTTCGTTACAACCGGGCTAAATGCCATCCGTCCCGGGTCGAATTCAACACGCCCTCTCTAGCCAATTCATGCTCCGCTGGACCCACGTTCGCCACGCTCTCCGCTGAGCACGCGCTGCTGCTCCCCTCAAATTTGCTCCTTTGATTGTTGTACAGTACTATGACCGAATGCGCAAACGTCTCGGTTTGGGAACAATTTGCTAGATGATGAAATTGAAAGTAAGCATGAAGGTTGGAAGACAATAAACTTACTCATGTAAGTTTATTCATGGACATTGTTCCAAAATGAGCAAACCAAAATGAGCAACCGTTATTCATGGACATTGTTCCAGCTACATTAGCAAACATCTATATGGTCATCATGTGGTGACAGTGCTAAAACCTGCTCAAATCCCCTACTAAGCCTGCTAGCCGTTGCAAGCCAACCCCTAATCTGCGATGCAAGCGCCCCTAAGCATGCTAAGTTCCTACTGCTGCTGCTGTCGCTAGTGTTGGTAGTTCGTACTAAGCATCCCAAGCCGCTCTGATGGCATTGCTGCGCCTTCCCAACCAGTCACCTGGCGGAACCATCCAGCCACTTCCCATCTGCCGCCGCCGCCACTACCGCCAGCCCCATCACCACCTCGCGCTCCACCTACACCTGATGGGTCTAAAGAAGAGCCCACAGATTCTGTTCCCACAGGCTTTAGGCCTGCATTGCTCACACTTGCCGACGCAAATCCCTCATCTTCTGTGCTTTCAACATGCGCACAGGAGGCACCAGGAGGGTCTGGGACAACATCAGCAACCCAAACAGCCCCATCCAATGCTGTTAATCTATCTGCAGTTGCAGTTGCAGCTACACACTGGCTGTGTGATTCCTCTTCCGCTCCACTGCCCTCTGCAGAAGGCTTGTCCTTCTCCCCCTCCTTAGCTTGACTCAGCAGCTTCTGTTGAAACTGCTCCTGCAAACGGATGCCCATCTTCTGCCACTCCGCCCACCCCACATGTTGCCTCTGCTGCCGCTCATGCTGCTGCTGCTGCTGCTGCTGCTGCTGCTGCTGCTGCTGCTGCTGCTGGCCCTCCTGCAGCTCTCGCTCTTGCTCCGGTTCACCGATCTGCGTACCTCCTGCAACCCCAGCGCCATTCCATCCAACCACATCCTTACATTCCCCCTCATCTGCTGCCTCACCCATTGCGGGGCCCCAATCACCTGGGCCTCCAGCGACTGCTGCTACACCAGCAGCACCTGACCCTCCTATGCCTCCTACGCCAGCTCCACCTGCTACAGCTGCAGGTACCCCAGCCTTAGCTGCTACAGCCTCAGCTGCTACAGATGGCTGAGGCGGCCCATCAGCCGGCAAGGAAGCAACAACGGGTGCAACAGCGGAGGCAGAGCTGCTGCGCCTCATGATCATACGGTCCATCTGCATCGCACTCGTGGCCAGAAATCCGCTCACTGCGCTCGTGTTGATCGCACCCACGCTCGTATTAATCGCGCCTGCCAGGCCCGAGGCCACTGCCACGAGGTTCTTGGCCGATTTGGAGATCTGAAGAGCCCGCGGAGTGGAGAGAAGGCTGGAGACGTCTGTAACGGGGACGAACGCCGCGAATGGGGAAGTGGACGCGAAGGCGGACGCTGTGAATGGCGACAGGGAGGTCGACGAGGACAGGACGGAATAGGAGGAGGAGGAGGAGGAGGAGGAGGAGGAGGACGAGGAGGACGAGGAGGAGGAGGAGGAGGAGGAGGAGGAGGAGGAGGAGGAGGAGGAGGAGGAGGAGGAGGAGGAGGAGGAGGAGGAGGAGGAGGAGGAGGAGGAGGAGGAGGAGGAGGAGGAGGAGGAGGAAGAGGAGGAGGAGGAGGTGGAGGAAAAAGGATGTTTCCAGGAGAACGTGCCTTCCGGTGACGTCAGACCGCTACAATCAGTGGCGCCAAGCGCCCCTGCACCCATTTGCAAAGTCGCTCCTTGCTCTTTCCCTGGTATCCTTGTAGGATCTGCACTTGGATCAGCAGCGGCAGCGGCGGCAGAAGCGGCTGTGGCTGCTGCGGCGGCAGCGGTGGTGATAGGCGTGGCGCTTGGACGATCATCATCAGGACCGCGACTGTGACCACGAGATGAAGAGTAACACAGGTCGCCTGACTCGCTAGTAGCGCCTGACTCGCTGGTAGGTGCTGACGTATCTCCACCATCGCCGCCACTCTTGCCATAACCCGCTCCGCTGCCATGGCTGCTGTCCCTGGAAATTGCGGCCAGAGACAAGCCGTTATCACCGCCATCCATGGCTGCTTCTCCCGTCGCTTCGTCATCCCCCTTCACGCCGTCGCCTGAACGACTCAGAACGTCGCAGTCCTCGAGATCGTCGCCGTCGCTGTCGTCAGCGCGTAACGAGCCACACCCGCCGTAAGACACGGGCAGGGGGCTGCACGGCTCACTCTCGTCGCCGTGACCGCCGCCGCCGCCTCCGCCGCAAGTATCGGAGCAGACGCTGCAGCTACTGCCATCGCCGTTCTCGCTTATTCCCTCCTCCCCTCCTCCCTCCTCACTGCCGCTGCTGTCGCTATTAACCCTCGGGTAACACCCCATCGCGCAAGAGCAGCGGAAATCAGGGTCAAACGGCTGCCTCGAGGGCGGAGGTGGGGAGCGGGAGATGCGCACGGCGGGAAGAGAGAGGTGGCGCGAGGCGGGGAAGGGGGAGTCACCGCGCGGGCTGGCGGGGAGGAGCGGAGGTGGGAGGCTGGTGGAGGCGGGGAGAGCGGCGGAGGGGATAGCGCGAGGCGAGGGGGATGGCGGAGACGTGGGGAACCGCGAGGTGGGGGAAAGCGACTCTCGATTGTACGCGATGGGGGACGTGGGTGCAGTCGTGGATGCTGACGTGGATGCAGACGTGGATGTAGACGTGGATGTAGACGTGGATGCAGATGTGGGTGCTGATGTGGATGCGGACGTGAGTTGAGAGGCGCACTTGGAACACGCACGTTCAGTATAGCGGGAGGCGGGCTTGCGGGCGACCGGGGACGCTTCGGGGAAAAGCTGCCATGGCAGTGAGGCACCATCGTCATCGCCGCGAGTGGCGGAAGGAATGCCGTTTTCGGGGTCAGGGGGGAGGAAGTGGTAGAGGCGCTTTCCTAAGAGAATCATTCTGGCTCGGAGGAATTAATAAGGAGAATCAGGAATTATCAGCGCAGGTGAAAAAATCAATCGAGGGCGGAGCGCCTGAGAAGAAACGTTTCGAGGGAGCGGAGGCGTGCGCAGCGAGGCGGGCCGGGGGGAGAAAGCGCGAGGTGCGAGCGAGATCGGGGACTTCTTGGATCAGGGACTTTGATTTCTCGATTGCTCGCGGCGCAGCGTGGGTGACAAGCCACGAGGAAAGATACTGAGGTGAGGAAGCCCCGTAGTATGACGAGAGGGGTGGCGACAATCGAGATTTCGCCCTACAATAAAATCCTCCACAAGTTAGGGCAACGGCGGCATGTTCCCAGATTGTGACGAACTAAGTGCCCAGGACAAGCATTTAGGGTCGCCCCTACTCCTATGAGGGATGAGATAATAGTCGCCTGTGCACTGGAGAAGCGCCCATGGAGAGGGGAGGAATAAGTGCGTGTCCAGCACGTTCGTCTACTATTCACTTTGCATATTAGGTACGAAAATTCGACCTGGTAACCCGAATTTTCGTGTCCATTCGGACACGCACGATAAATTAACGGTTTTGGCGGACATCCTCCAAACGTGCCCACAGACGTGGGCCGCACGTTTCCGAACCGAATGAAAATCGTGCCCAAATTATATACACGGCAGAAACGTCCAAATCCTGGCTGGCGAAAAATAGAACGCTTAAATTCGCCAGGCTTTCGTGACGCTTGCGAAGCACGGCGAAAAAAGCGGAAGGAGAATTGGAATTCGTCCTTGTTTGTGTTTTTTTCCCTCTGGCGAGGGGGAAATTGAGCCCTCCCTTTTTTTCCCCCTGGGTGGAGTCGCGGCTCGTAATGCGTGTTCGCGAAAGCGGGCGGGGCCTCTTTTCCTTGGGCGAAATTCAGTTACCCTGCTGTTTTCGCGTATTAGTCTGTTATGTGCGCGCTGCGCACCCGCTCATTTGTCGAGACACGGGCGGGGCTCGTATCCGCACGTTTTGCTGCTGATACTGTAGGTGTACCTCAACACATTCACAATTGGCGAATCAATATTTCGGCGTGTTAAAAGAACGTCCAAAACTCGTGTTGGGGCAAAATGAACGCGCTGGACACGCCCTAAAAGCGGGGGACATTGCTCGCTATGGGGGGAACGAAGGGGGGGAGGAGTTGCATTGCGTGCAGTGCAGAATCATGTCACCTTATCCTTTCCCCGCCGCACCAAGCTACAGTACAGCTCTGTAGGTTTTTTACTTCCAACATTTGGGGGAACGATGAACGGCGCATGTCGGTGGCCAACGACGAGTGCGAAAACGGTGCTGTGTAGTACGAGTCGAAGGATGGCTTGTTCACGACACTTGCGAAGCTCGACGATGTCAAACTCAAGGGGAGCGACACAATGGACGTGTGGGTTGAAGCTGTCACCATCGCCTCGGATGTGTGGGGCCAGCACTAGGGGCGGTCGCGTCGCCTTAGATACTGTAAACGAAATGATATAAACGAGGAGGCGCAGCCTGTTTGGGGAATTCTGGAGCGAGTGTTAGACCCTCGGGTTGTGCTCTAAGATCCGAGGCTGGAAAAAATGTGTCGGGTCTTGCGAAAAACTGACGGCTCCCGCCAGACAGCTGTCGAGCCGAACAAATAATAACGTCGCGCAAATGAACTTTCACCAATCATAAACTCGCAAATGTCTGGTGGACTCGCAAAGTTCGGCCACTATAGTCGTAACCCTCCCTTTACGACTGTACAGCCGATGCACCGTCAAGAATATAAAACCCGCAGTTCGGTTGTGACAACTCGCGGCTCCTTCGGCCGCGGGTCGTCCTCGGGTCTGACACTCACTCCGGAATTCCCTTATTGTCAACAAGAAATGACGGGAATTCCTCCAACCTCGTTGGTTTGTCAAACGCTGTCACATCTGGCAGCTAATGGGCCACACAAAATTCGCACGTGTATTCCTACGGAAATACACCAAGCCTGCGGTATTTTTACACCCAGTATTTTCACCGGGAGCGCCGCAGAGAGGATATTCACCCCCTGAAAGCAGCTCCTGAAGTCCAAATCCGGATACCCTTGAAAAACAATTCGAATTTGGGTTTCTATACGAATAGCTGGGTTGTTTAAGGTGATCTCCAATAGAATCAACCATACAATCAGCACATCTAGGACCGCGAAAAACATCCAGCACTCCAGTGAACTAGCATCTAGGCAAGCATACCCTACCAATCCAACTCCAGTGAACTAGCTTCGCGCATGAGGACTACGTTCTGCTCATCTCTAGTCTCCCGATTCCCGAACTAAGCAATTTTCCCTGCGCTGTGAACCGCATCAGCTGATATTAGTTCCCACCGCCAACCATCCCACCCCAGAACCCCGACCAGAAGCCGTTCCAGACGCTCCAGCGAGCAGCCCTCCTGTCCTCCCGCGCCTGGTCCGCATCATCGAAGTAATCGTTTCCGCCACTCGAGCCCGAGTTAGAAGGAGCCGTCTTGCAGGTGAAATCAAGGGTGAGTGCGCCACTGCATTCAAGAACAATCCAAGCGCGAAGTGAGTAAGCCAAAAACGACAATAATGGTAAGACCAGCTCAGCGAATAAGTGAGTAAATAGCTCAGCGCTGGGAGCAGGATGACGAGCCATGGTACGAGACCATCGACGGGGCTGTCAGGGGCTTACAAGTTGCTGCCATGGTAGCTGAGGACCTTGGATCCGCCAACCGAATGGGCCCAGATAAGGCGGTTCGCGCCTGTGAAGTCCAGAGGAACGTTGCCCGCGCCACCCGTCAATGTGAACCTGCGACGCATAGAGCCACGTGGCACCGAGTCAGTACCGTCGTCCCACCGGTTTCCTAACATCTCCTTACCTCGCCCCCTGAAATAACCCATCCCTCCGTACTTGATCACGCGCGATCCGGTCAGCGAGTTGCTGACGCTCGTGGCACCAAGCGGAACCGCCCCGGTCTGCACCACCATCCAGCGGCGGTAGCCGGTCATATAGAACGCGCTGACGCCGCCGCTGCCGAAGTTGCCGATGACCGCATCGGCGGGAACCATGCTGCCAGTGCGCGACCACCCCAGCGACATCCATCCGCGCGCCGCCTCACTCCCCGCCGAGCCTTCCAGCGCAACGTTCACCTGGTTACCCACGGGGGGGCTCCAGTGAAGGCGGAAACTGGCGGGGAACGCGGGAGGGGGGAGAGAGAAAGATGCGGGAGACGGACTCTTAGGGGGCGACAAAATGTGGTATCATGCGCATGGGTGATGGGCATTTTACGGGGTACGTAAGAGACGAACCATAGGGTTCTGCCCACCTGTCGCCTTCCAGAGGGATGGAGTAGGTGAAGCCATCGAGAGACGAAGCCGCGCAGAGCGAGTTGCCTCCAGGAGTGGGGGTTTGCGGCGACCCGGGGACAGTCGGGTCAATGGGACCGGTGTAGCTGTAGTCGGTGCCGACGCAGGAGAAGTCGACGACCAGCGAACCCCTGCACGGATCAGCATGGTCACAGTCACCAGGGATAAGCCACGATTGCATCGATTCGACCAAGCGTTGCGACGAAGTCGATGCGAAATGTCGAGAGTGCTGGGCGCGGAATATGAAAAGAGCCCACAACTGTAATGGGCTTGAAAGGTGGGAGTTGATAGACCTGGAAGGTGGATTGTGCGGGGGGGAGGGCGAAGAGGCTCACTGTTTCTGGAAGTGGTAGCCGATGGTCTTATTGCCGAACAAGTCGTGCGCCCAGATGAGTGTGTTGGGCCCGCTGAAGTTGATGGGGATCATCCCGCCGTCGCCCAAGCTACGGCTAAACCTGCACGCCCAGGTTACCAAGAAGAAGAAAAAAAAAAAGGCCACCAAGGTGAACCACAAGTGCACTGCTCCTTCCAGGTCACAGCCAGTAAAAGAACGGTCTTTGCCAGCAGAGTTACTGGACCACGCTGGGCTGTTTAAACCAACTCACTTGAGGGTCGTGCGGCGCGTGGTCATTTCCACGCTGGCGTCGGCGCCAATGCTGAAGTTATCCGTGCGCACCACGTCCTGCTGGCCGTACCCCAGGATGCTGTATGCCGCGATCGGCACGTCCTCGGTATTTCCGATCACCGCATCGGCCGGCACCATGGCGCCCGAGTTGCTGAACCCGAGCGCGATCCATCCCTTGGCGGCGCCGCTGCCCACCTTTGCGACGAGCGCGATCTTCACCTGCGTGCCGTTGATCACGGTCCAGTGTAGGGAGATCCTGGTGAGGGTAAGGGGAGTGAGTGAGGCAGAGGACGGTTGTTCGCGCGAGTTTTTCCCGATAGAGAGGCGCTGCAAGAAACGGAGGTGGAAGCTAGGCATAGTTAGCGGGTGATGCGTGGAGTGGTGTCGACGCGGGGAAGGGGCGGAATTGACAGGGGTTCCCGGGACGGACCGCTAGACGGGAGCGGAAACATGAGGCGACGACGAGGGCAGCAGCAGTGCTGCTTGCAATTCTCACCAGCCCGGCTTGATGAACACTCGCGACGTGTAATCCCTCATAGGCGAGGCGGAGCAAGCAGGCGCCGGAGCCGCCTCTGAACCCGGAGCTTCCGCCGCCGGGTCCCCGCCCGCCACAAACCCGCCCTCCGCCATTTTCCCGACGTTGGACGGGCCAAACGCGCCGGCGGGGCCCAGCTGCACGTTATTCCCGACGTTGTTTCTCGCCGGCGCGCCGCCGTTGCCTACGGAAGCACCGCTGCCGTCCTGGTAACCACCTAGAGGGTCCTGGGGATTGGTAGGCTGGACGGTGGAAGTGACGGAGTTAAACATCAGTGCTATCAGGAGGGGAAGTAGGAGAAGCGAAGCCATGGTTTTAGCCATGACGAGCCCTTGTTCGACTAGCGATGGGTGAAGGTTGGGCTAAGTGAGTAGAACGGATCGGTAGGAGACTAATGTCGAGCGGTCCGGCAGTGTTAGAATCGGTGCTGGGAGATGTCTTGTGAATGGAAGCGCTCGTCGAGATGGCTGGCGACGACTGAGACTGGTGCTGATGGAATGACGTACTACGAGGCATACGAAGCTCCTTTTGGCTTGAAGGAGAGATGCGTCGCGTCGCACTCGTCCACAAACAATGCGCCCTTCATTGATCGGGCGTTGGCGATTGCCGGTTCAAGTGACTGCTCAGATCGCGTCGCAAAGTGTACAGGAATCGCGCATCGGGGCATTCGCGAGTCGCTCGCGGGTCCTTCCTTGGTTGCGATGAATTGAAAACCATCCAGCACCAGCCAGAGGCACCCACCCAACCACCCACCAAGTCGTTGGGCCCCTGCTTGCGTCTTCCCCGCCCCTAGCTATGGTTGGGTCTGGCAGTCAATTTAGCGCCTCGTTCTGTTTGAGCACTGTTCTCCCTTATCAGTCACACCACGCAAGAGCGCTGTCCAGCCCGCGTGACTGTGATGGGATGACGAGTGCTTGCGCCATTTTTTTGAATGGGGTGCGCCAGCATTGCCTTGGGGTGGGTGGCTGAGTGGATGAAAAGCGGTGGTGGAGGGTGGGTGTTTGCCATGGTGAACCGAAATGCCCCTTCTGTACAAGAACCTGTGCATTGAGTGCAGGAGGAACGACGGGCAATGTGCGCAAAAGAGGAGGGGGCGCTGCCCGATTAGAGCTCGGTCGAGGACCAGTTGAGTTGAAGCCCCAACGGCGGGTGGATGTGGGGCAGCGCCAAGCCGCGTTTCAGAAATGGGTTCCCGTAAATCGAATGAGATATCAACGGGGGAACTTCAAGGTCGTCGCCAAATTATGTTTCCGTGTATTTCGAACCGAGCAGATAACCATGAGTGTGGAAAAGGCATATAAATTATCCAAACCATTTCATAACCATGTAAATGCATCTTCAACCTTGACTCTCTGACACGTCTTGTGCTGGATATAGAGCAGACGCCATTCCACCAGCAGTTCTATCAACATTTGGAACTCACCTTTGACAGTTTGTATTGTCATGTAATATCTTCTACGTCTAAGGGGATCACTGAAATTACAACTACTGAGTAAGCTTACAAAAGCAATATTCAAGGTCTGTGGGACTTCAAAGCGAAAGTATACAATAACTTCAAGATTCAAAGTGTTACGAATTAATCAGAGTAATAACAGGTGCTGTAATAAAGGAGTCGTGATTCAAGCGTCGACACAAATGAGGGTCTATGCATCTGTAAGCACGAACAAAGCTAGAGGAGAACCACGCGAACAGGTTGGGGCGATTCGGTTGGCGAAAGCCACGGAAGCGCTGCGCGTCGAGGTTTGGGTTCGCGAAGTGGTTCGGGACTGAGGAACTTGGCCGAGCATGGACTTCCGAGAGTTGAGGGAGTATGCGCTGTAGTAGAGCCCAGTAAGGAAAACGAAATTTCCTCACACCATCCCCCCTTCCGGGATGAGACTACCCACATCCGGGACATGTCGTCGTTGTAAATAGTCCTGGACGACTTTGTGCTTGACGAGCTGTATGCTATAAACATTAAGCCTTAATTCATGGTGGCCATACACGTAGAGAGGAGCTGTAAGAGCACTCACTTAAATCTCATAAAACCGGAGTAGTATATTTCATGGTCCTTCAAGACGACAACATTTAATAACAGCACATCCAGACAATTTGTACAGGGGACAGGCAGCAAACTAGTTACTAGCAAAAATAGTACCTAGTCAACCGGCACTTGGCCTTGATCACCACCTATACCCTCCTAGGCATGTTATCTACGAGGTTAGTGCAAACCTTTCCAGGGATCTTCTCGCACTCTTCCTGGACCCACGCTTTTGCATAAGGGGGTGAGCACTAGGAAAATCGCGAAGTATTTGAACGTATGCAAGAGTACTGTGCACGATTTCATGTTGAATGTTATCTCTAAGACTAGCCATGCTGAGGTGTGGCCAAAGATGCCATTAGTCGATTGGTCTCGTCTTATCATGGATCGTCTTCATCGCACCGTTGTAGGCAAAAAATACGAGGAGAGTGGCGAAAAATTGCGTATCTGCCACGAAACTTAGGGTAACATAGCACGGTTGACAGTGCATCCTTGCACTATTAGAATCATGCTAGGATCCGTATGTCTCTAAGCGGTGCAGCAGTCGAAGTAGTCGTGTCTAGTGGGGAAAAATATCCGGGTTGTGATCTGGTGAGGAAAAGGGTCACTCCAGCGTAACATACTCGTATTCTCTAAGCCATTCTAAGCCATTTGTCCCGCCTAGGCTTGGAATGGCTTGGAGAGGATGAGTTTATAGCACTGGAGTGACACTCTTCCTCACCAGAGCTGAACCCAGATATTTTTCCCCACCAGTCACGACTACTTCGACTGCTGCACCGATCAGAGACATACGGATCCTAGCATGATTCGAATAGTGCAAGGATGCACTGTCAACCGTGCTATGTTACCCTAAGTTTCGTGGCAGATACGCAATTTTTCGCCACTCTGCTCGTATTTTTTACCTACAACGGTGCGATGAAGACGATCCATGATAAGACGAGACCAATCGACTAATGGCATCTTTGGCCACACCTCAGCATAGCTAGTCTTAGAGATAACATTCAACATGAAATCGTGCACAATACTCTTGCATAAGTTCAAATACTTCGCGATTTTCTAGTGCTCACCCCCTTATGCAAAAGCGTGGGTCCAGGAAGAGTGCGAGAAGATCCCGATAAAGGTTTGCACTAACCTTATAGATAACATGCCTATGAGGGTGTAGGTGGTGATCAAGGCCAAGTGTCGGTTGACTAGGTACTAGTTTTGCTAGTAACTAGTTTGCTGCCTGTCCCCGGTACAAATTGTCCGGATGTGCTGTTATTAAATGTTGTCATCTTGAAGGACCATGAAATATACTACTCTGGTTTTAGGAGATTTGAGTGAGTGCTCTAACTGCTCCTCTCTACGTGTATGGCCACCATGAATTAAGGCTTACTGTTTATAGCGTACAGCTCGTCAAAACGTAAAAATATGCTAAACATGTAGACAATTGTTTCCGCCACTGTAGCTCGCTTGATGGTAACCGCGCTGACTGTCGATGTCACGGAATCTTGACTGCTCCACTTTGGAAGTCGTCGCCACTCGCCACTCCATTTGATGCGACAGTCACCCGTCCACCAGTCAATACTCGGGTTGTATTCGCACAACCAATCGCGTCCCAGCAACATGTCGCAGCCATCCAAAGTTGTCGCCAACATCTTCATCGTAAAGCTGAAATTTTCGCCGCATGTAACTCGCACATGAGGTACTCGCTCCCGAATTGCCAGTGGTGTGCCGTCAACCAATCTTGCGTCGATTTCCGGCATGCAGCGCTCCAGTTGCAGTCGCAATTTTTTCACATTCGTCACATCCATCAAACTGTGGCTCGCCCCGCCATGAACGAATATTTTTATGCGGTTGTCGCCAACTCTCCCTTCGACCAGCACAGGGTGGTCAACCGGTTCACCCCCCTTATTCAGCCAGGAATGGTCGATAGCCCAAATCGGCACTATAACCTGGTGGGGGTGGTGGCGTTTGGGCGACGCAGTCAAGTCAGTAGGTGGTCCATCTGCTACTGACAATCTCCATTTCCCGACTGCTTCTTGTTGTTAGGTAAGTTCTTCTTCAGCTGCGGACAGTCCCTCACCATGTGACCCGGCTGGTTGCAGTGGAAGCAGTTCCCCGAAAATACTCGGGCTGCAAACACGTCAAGGTCATTGATTGATGTGTGTTGGGGCTGGCCTCGAAAGCGATTTCTCTCCTGAAAACCTGCTCTCGCGAGTCCACGTCGTGCGTCCAGCGCGTCTGCTATGGGAACGATCTCGTTGAAGGTCGTCGGGGCTCGCATGATGATTTCTTGCTGAATCTCCGGCTTGAGTCCACCCACGTAGCGATCAATTTTCTCGTCCTCGCTGATCCCTCCGATTTGGTCGCAGACTGCCAGAAACGACACCATGTATTCTTGGACAGAGCCCAACTGTCTCCACATCCGAAGCTTTGTGCGAGCATTTTCGCGCATGGATATGTGCTCGAATCTGCCCTTCAACGCTTCGCCCCACGCTTTCCACGTGCGGATCGTGGCCGATCCAAAGATTGGTTTTGCCTTCGCCGTTGATGAACTCATCTCCCCAGCTGCCGCCCGTTGATTCCCTGCCGGAGCTCCTCCCTCGTCGAGATGCATGCGCCACCAGTCGAGTGCCGTGCCCCTCAGCAGCGACACAGCCAAGTTGACACGTGAGGCATTGTCATTAATACTTGCTGCCGTGAAGAAGATTTCCATGGCGAACAGCCACCCGCTCACTGTAGTTGTCCCGTCGGTCGGATTGAACGGTGGGGGCATCGGAGGCTTGATTTTAATGGCTGCCCGCGGCTCGCTGTGGATTTCTTCAACCGCTTCAGGTGTCGCCGACGCCCTCGCTTCGCTCGTTGCATTCTCGTCTCGGGTAACAGGCCGCTCCTAACACGTTTCACCTCGCGTTGGCGAAGCGACGAGTTTTCGTTGCGCAGCGTCTGAACTTCGCTTCCCAGCAACTCAAACTTGTCCGCGAGTTGTTGAAGCTGGGCCTGCAGTGTCGTCACTATAACCGCCCTGGCTTGCAACTCGTCAAACTCCTCCTGGGTCACGTTCCTAACACTACGACGGGCAGAGGTTTCCGGCGTGCTAGTCATGCTGGAAAATTTTCCTGACAGATCTGAGGGTGCACATGCTTTTGGTTGGAGGAGCTTTAGCGAGCTCGCCTACCAACCGCTGGCCAACCCTCTATTCTGTCGGGTCCTCTCCCGATATAATCGGACTACTCTACCGAAGACTAAGTGGGCAGGATCGGGGCTCTGATACCAACTGTTATAAATTAATCAGACTAATAACATACAGTGTAAAGCGAGAAGTCAAAATAGTGAAGGCGGGTCCAACTTGAAAGGGCCCAGACGTCCGTTTTTGCGACTAAGGGACAAACTGCGACGGGGCAGAGGGTACACTGTCGAGAAATGCGAGCAGGGGAAATTGAGCGAGAAGAGGCAGTTACCTGATTGGTTGACAGGAAACACATGACGTACGATGGAAAACGTGGCTCGGGAAAAATCGCAAGCAGCGCACCACCTGTCGCCCAGGCCCCACTGCCTGTAAGCTGCACCAAATGGGCCCAACTCGAATTTCAAGTTGGACCGAGGTTCACTACTCCGGCAAAAACGAGGCTGGGCCCCGATTGGTCGAAATGTTAACTGCGCGAATCTGTGGTCGTAAAATCTATCGCCAGTGCGAAATGTCGCAAGTGCAATTCCATTTCGTGGCCTACGGCTTGGTAAAAAACGCGGGCTGCTGCCTGCCCCTCCAAAAATATATTCACTGTTGGGTCGTTTCTAGTTGGGCCCAACTAGAAAGAGGGGTCACTATTATAACCTCTCGCTTTAAGCGTCGATACAAATGAGGGTCTAGGCATTTATAGGCACGAACAAAGCTAGCCGAGAACCACGTGAACAGGTTGGGGCGATTCGGTTGGCGAAAGCCACGGAAGCGCTGCGCGTAGAGGTTTGAGTTCGCAAAGTGGTTCGGGACCGAAGAATTTGGCCGAGCCTGGACTTCCGAGAGTCAAGGGCGTACGCGCTATAGTCTAGCCCAGTAAGGAAAAGGAATTTTCCTTACACAAAGGACCTTGAACCTTCCGAGTTGCGAACCCTCGACACGCCCACACCTGTTGGCCCGCGAGATGGGGAAACTTGGTAGGCGCAAATAGATTATTGGCTGAGCGACAGCCATACGACGCAGGGTCAGCACTGGGGAAAAGCATCTCACCAACCCACCAAGATGCCAAGTGCCTTCCAAGGTCGTGACGCAGTCCAAGGTCGTGACGCAGTCCCCCGCCCTTCTCGTCGAGCAAACACCGCGCACGTCGCGCCGAATAAAAAAACTGCGAGTTTGAGAGGGGCGTGAACCACACTCGGTTTAGGAGAGCCGAGTCCAGCCCTCGCTTTCGTGAGAGCCGCGGCGTCCTGCCACCACATCGCAACGACACTGTTGGACCCGCGCACTGCAGCTAGCGGGGCGCGCTAGCGACGTTTTTCAGTTCACGCAGCCCTGCCTGCCCGCGCCATGCTTATTCGCAAGTGGGGTCGCGACGCGCCAATGCGCCCGTCCGAATCTGCAACCTGCTCTCCTGCCCTCTCCCGCTCTCCTGCTCTCCTGCTCGCTCACTCTCCTGCTCTCCTGCTCGCTCGGTCTCCCTCTCTCCTGCTCTCTCGCACTCCCGCTCTCCCGCTCTCCTGCGCGCTCGCTCCCCCTATCCCCTGCTCTCCCGCTCTCCCACCCGCTCTCCTGCTCGCTCGCTCTACCGCTCTCCTGCTCTCCCCCTCTCCCGCTCTCCTGCTCGCTCGCTCTCCCTCTCTCCTGCTCTCCCGCTCTCCCGCTCTTCCGCTCTCCTGCTCTCCTGATCGCTCGCTCTCCCGCTCTCCCCTCTCCTCTCTCTCCAACTCTCCTGCTCGCTCGCTCTCCCGCTCTCCCGCTCTCCTGCTCTCCCGCTCTCCCACTCTCCTGCTTGCTCGCTCTCCCGCTCTCCTGCTCTCCTGCTCTTCCGCTGTCCAGCTCCCCCGCTCTCCTGCGCTCCCGCTTTCCTGCTTTCCCGCTCGAAAGTTGTGGTGCTCTCCTTCTCTCCCGCTCTCCCGCTCTCCCTCTCCCCCCCCTCCCCCAGTCTCCTGCTCTCCCAATACCCTGCTCCCCTGCTCTCCCGCTCTCCCCCTCTCTCTTCGTGCCCACATCCCCTCTCTTTCGTGCACACATCCCATCTCTTTCCCCCTCACATGCCCTCTCTTTCCCCCTCACATGCCCTCTCTTTCCCCCTCACATGCCCTCTCTTTCCCCCTCACATCCCCTCTCACATCTCCTCCGCATCCTCTCTCTTCCCCCCCCCCCCCCCCGACCTCTCTCTTTCCCCCTCGTGTCCTCTCTCGTTCCCCCTCGTGTCCTCTCTCAATCCCCCTCGTGTCCTCTCTCTTTCTCCCTCGTGTCCCCTCTATTTCCCCCTCGTGTCCTCCCTCTTTCCCCCTCGTGTCCTCTCCCTTTCCCCTTCGTGTCCTCTCTCTTTCCCCTCATGTCCTCCCTCTTTCCCCCTCCTTTCCTCTCTCATTCCCCCTCGTGTCCTCTCTCTTTCCCCCTCATGTCCTCTCTCTTTCCCCCTCACATGCCCTCTCTTTCCCCCTCACATGCCCTCTCTTTTCCCCTCACATCCCCTCTCACAACTCCTCCGCATCCTCTCTTTCCAACCCCCCCCCCCCCCCGACCTCTCTCTTTCCCCCTCGTGTCCTTTCTTTTTCCCCCTCGTGTCCTCCCTCTTTCCCCCTTGTGTCCTCTCCCTATCCCCCTCGTGTCCTCCCTCTTTCCCCGTCGTGTCCTCTCTCTTTCCCCCTCGTGTCCTCTCCCTTTCCCCCTCGTATCCTCTCCCTTTCCCCCTCCTGTCCTCTCTCTTTCCCCCTCGTGTCCTCTCTTTTCCCCACTCATGTCCTCCCTCTTTCCCCCTCGTGTCCTCCCTCTTTCCCCCTCGTCTCCTCTCTCTTTCCCCCTCGTGTCCTCTCCCTTTCCCCCTCGTGTCCTCTCTTTCTCCCTCGTATCCTCCCTCTTTCCCCCTCGTGTCCTTTTTCTTTCCCCCTCGTATCCTCTCTCTTTCCCCCTCGTGTCCTCTCTCTTTCCCCCTCGTGTCCTCTCTCTACATCCCCTCTCTTTCCCCCCCACAGCTGCTTCCCCTTCCTGTCCCCCCCCCTGTCGCTCACCTTTCCTATGCTCGCCCTTGCTGTCCTCCCCCCTGTCGCTCACCTTTCCTCTGCTCCCCCTTGCTGTCCTCCCCCTTGTCCCTCGCCTTTCCTCTGCTCCCCCTAGCTGTCCTCCCCCCATGCTCCTCGCTTTGGACCACATACCATCCTCTCACGTATTCACCACCCCCGCACTCACCCATTCTGACCCCGTCCATCCCTCCCTTCCCCCCCCCTTCCTCTCCAGTCCCCATCTCGTTTCGCCACCATCCTAGGCTGAGAAACGTCTTAATTGGTGATGCTAACTCTCTGTGTAAAAAGTTGACTAGAATGATGGGGTACAAGGGAATATAACCTGAGGTGTTGTACTCTATATGATCATGCACTTATCTAGCCTATAAAATATACAAAATATATGTTGACACACCCCCTAGGCTAGACAAGGGGCAGCAACTAGCACGAGACACGCAGCTCAGGGTGGCACTTGTAGTCCAACCTCTGTGGCAATGGTCAGAAGACCATTCAGTAAGAGTACAAACTAAACAAGAATTGTGACACGACCTCAGAGGAGTGTGCAGTGCAGTCGTCATAGGAAAAATGCAATTGGAACAGAAAAATGCAAATGAGACTAGGTGGCAGGTCTGGAAGACCTGCCGAGAGATGAAGGAGTTTGTCTCCTTTACAGCAAACTCCTCTTCTAGTCGAATCACAATCTGTAAATTTTTCATTACAAAAAATTTCTCATGTAGTCCAGGGCGGCACTACTAGTCCAGCCATTGGAGCAGGAGCCACAAGGCCAGTCAAGGTAATATAAGATATAGTACACAATCAAGGTCCTAGCAAGTGAGAAGCTACATGAACTAGACCAAGCAGGACAGATTGCCGCTGATGATCTTTAGGTGCAAGCGCTTTAGTAAAGATACCAGCTGTGTTGGCAACTGAGGCCAAGTGTTCTACGCGGGCCTGGCGACGCTGCTGTAGCTCGCGCAGGAGGAAGTACCACAGCTGAATGTGCTTCGCTCTGCCCTCCAGTCGAGGCTCGTGACACAGGAGGATCATGGCCCTGTTGTCAGCGTACAGGACCGGGGCAGAGCTAGGCCACTCACCTGTCTATGAGCAAGAAAGTCAGCCAGCGGAGCTCCTGTGCCGCCATGGCACCGACGTAGATCTCAGCCTCACAGCTAGACTAGGCAACAGACGATGAATGAGTGGACCTCCACGAGATGGCACCTGCACCAAGGCTAAAGCAGTAGCCCTGTGAGGACCTGAGCATCTCAGCATCGTCGGCCGACGAAGCGTCTGTGTGCCCAGTACGGACCACTAGCGTGCGTCCTCCTAGCACTAGCCCCATGCCCGATGTACTCGCTTGCTAACGCAAAACCCTCTTAGCGGCCGACCAGTGCTGTGGTCGGTGCCTGCCTGTTGCCACAAAGCGAGCCAGGATGCTGAGAGGGTATGCAAGATCTGGACGAGTGCAAGTCATCAGGTATGTTAAGTAACCCACCAGCTCTGCGTATGTATCACTAAGCTCTATTGACTCCTCAGGGACTGGAGTCGAGAGCCTGTAAATTACTGGCAGAGGTGTGAGCTGTGCGGAGGAGAACTCAAGACCGAACCTCTGAAGGACCTGGCGCACCAAGTGTGACTGAGTCAGGGTGATGGTGCGCGCTGCTCTATCCCGGGAGATCTGCAGGCCAAGGTAGCGGCGCAGCTCTCCTAGGTCAGTGCAGGTGTGTCTCCTCAACCGCAAGTGAGAGAGAGGACGAGCACTGCACGAGAGGGACGGCGAGACCAGAATTGGGGTGGAGGCGTTGGTTCACAAGACACAGGAGGAGACACAGGAGCAGAACGCGGGAAAAAATGAGTCGGAGACGAGTCCAGCGAAGGACAAACAGAAGCGTAGACATGCGGGGGAGGCCCAGGCAAGCCGTCAAGGAAGGGAAGACCGAGGAGGCGAAGGGTAGACATTGGCGACGATTGTTGCTGCTGCTGCTCTACACCAACACCAGAACCTCCAGCTACACCACGGCTACCTCCGTGATGCTCCACGACAACACCTCTAGAACAAGAACCCTCTCCAGCACCAGTGCAACCCCCAGGACTGCCGGGACAAGCCACGACAGTACCCCAGGACTAGCACCCTTAGAGCCAGCACCCCCAGAATGTGAACCCTCTCCAGCACCGGTGCTACTCCCATGGACGTCGGGACAAGCCACAACAGTAACCCCAGGACTAGCACCCTCCTTAACGCCCGCACCCCCAGAGCTTGTGGACCCCTGCGGCGGCGGCTCCGGCGGCGTCGGTGACGGCGGCTGCGGAGGAGGAGACACCCGGGGGGAGAGAGGTGGCGAGACCGAAACTGCGGGGCCCCTGGAGTCAGCCGACGCCTCCACCAGGACAACCGACGCGAGGGGAGTGACGTGAGATACACCAGATGGGGCAGGATGGGGAGGAAGAGGAGCAGGGGCTACCGGGGGAGTGGGGACCAAGAATAGGGGCGGGGCAACTGGGAGACCTTGGTGGGGAAAGCGGGTGTAGAAGGAGACAGACTCATCAAAAGTGACGTCACGAGATTGAAAAAAACGATGACACGTCGGGTGGTAAAAGTGCCAGTCAAACGCGTCGAGGGGGAAGCCACGGAAGACACAAGGAACGGTGGGGGCAGTGAGCTTGTCCATACTAGAGGCACCTGAGCAAGGGTCGGCATCAGGGAACGCAGCCCCAGACGTGGAATGCAGACGCGTTATCAGGGAACCCGGTCTAGAGAAGGGTCGGCAAAACCTACGGCCGCTCGGAGTATGGCCATATGTTAAGCTGGTGAGCAGCGTAGCGAACAGCGAACGGCCATAGAAAATGGGATGCACTGGCATGGATCATGGAGGTACGAGCCACCTCCATGACCAAACCGATGCGTCACTCAGTGACCCCATTCTGTTTCAGGGAGTCTTGCAGGGTGTACGACTGGGTGATGTTCTCCGCACGACAAAACTAGCCAAGCCGACCAGATGCGAACTTGCCGCCACGGTCGGAGTGAAGACGCAGCACAGGGAGGCCGCGGTGGACTCACGCAGCTACGACCCACGGGATAAGATTATCGGGCACGCCGGCCTTCCGCTCCATGGGAAACACCGTGGTGTAGCATGTGTAGTCATCGACAAGCACTAGAAAGTAGCGCTCTCGACGCGGCCCAGGGACGGGGGCTGGGCCCCAAACATCTAGGTGCAGGGTCTAGAATGGCATAGTGGTAGGGGGGAGCGAGGAGGAGTGAGGAGCACGGCGGAGCCGGCCCTCGACGCAAGGCATGCACGGAGGTGCAAGCGAGGGAGGGAGGGCAGGGAGCGACGCAGGGAGACCAAAGACAAGCCCTTAATGGGATATGTGATGCAGACGCGGGAGTGCGGGGTGACCTAGGTGGTGGTGCCATAGCAGTGAAGGGTGGGTGAGCGACCGACACGAGCAGGCTGCAGCTACCAGGGAGAACGCTGCGACCCGGGGGGACGCTCCGACCAGGGGGGACGCGATGTCTAGCGTGAACAGGCCAGACACGGGGTCCCGGGGGAACGTGGTGAGAGGGGCACTAGTGGCGGCCTCGGTACAGACTGCGTACAGCTCGTGTCAAGGGAATGTAGTGGTGATGCTGAGGTACTGAAGACAGCCGAAACCAAATAGGTTCCTGGAGAACGAGGGGATGTGCAAGCCTGTAAGTGAGCCCGAGGGAACCGCCGGGTAGGGAAGGGTAGTGGAGATACGGGAAACTACCGGACCTGAGGAGGGGTCAGCAAGCGCTATAGCGGCTGGGGCAGCAAGCGGCGTGAGTGAAGTGTGGTCGCAAAAAAGCAGGCGGACTCACAAGAGTCTAGAGTGAACGAGAGTACATCGATAGCGGCTGTAGGCAGAAGAGCTAGCGTGGAGCCAAGGCTAAACAATGCAGGTGGTCCTACACCTTACGCAGTAGGGGAAACTAGACTATACTCAGTGGACACACCTATACTAGACAACACTAGGTAATAGGGTCCAGTCACACTAGAGTCATCAACATACATGATATACATAGCAGACCTAATCTGATCCATGTCAAGCTCAAAGACAGGCATACGGTGACATGCCAGGGCGTACCAGTCTGAAGGGCCCGACGTGGGACAAAAGCGGAGACGGAAGAGGTCATCGGGGCGATGGTAGCAGCGGCCAGCGGTGTGACTGGGACGGTCGCAAACGGTGCCGCGACAGGGGCCAATCTGAAGTTGGTACAGGCACGTGACCACACTGGAGCCCCGACACCGAGCTGCGCGGCGCACCACCACGACCACGACCACCAGCGCCACCAGGCCACCACGGCGGCTGCTGCTGCTGGTGTTGCTGAGGCTATTGATGCTGCTCCTGGGCACCAGCCCTGGTCCCCTCGTCTGCACCACTGTCCTTGCCCCCTCCACCACCCACACCACCCTTCCCTCCGCCACCCGCCCCCCTTGGGGCGGCGGCCCTTACCCGGACGCTGCTGCACTGTTGCCGCAGCGGCGGTCTCAGCAGCAGGGGTTGTCTCAACGGCAGTGGTAGAAATATTAGAGTAAGTGCACTGAGAGGGAGCACAGCCCTGGAAGATAGGGACCGCTGCAGTTCCGCTAGACTGAGCGATATTGCGCTAGCGGGTCTCTATCGCGGACAGGACGGTGACAAAGGCGGTAAGGGTGAGGTCACCTGGGTGCTTACTAAGGAAGTGGTCGCGGACAGTGGCAAGGCGGTCAGAAAGGCGCGTGTCAATAAGGCAAAGGGTAGCGCAATGTGGTGGCGGGAATGCAATGAGCGGTGCCCCGATGCTAGCGACGCGGTAGCTAGTCTCAGTACGCTGAGGTGAGTGGTGCCGGCAGAGGCTGAGGCGGGGGTGGAATAGCGTGCGATGACGGCATCTAAGTATTCCTTGGCGTTTGAGACAGCGGTAAAGCGGGGACGCTCAGACAGGGGGAGGGCGTGACTAATGGCAAGCTGAGCAACGGCATCGCGTGGATCCTTGACAGCGCAGGCAAGCTTAGCAGCGACATAAGCCTCACGCTCAGCAGACGTGGGGGCGTCAGGGAGGGCAGCAGGCGGGGCGGGGCGAGGGAGCTTACCGTCGACATGGACGGCCAGGGAGTGGTCGTCCTGGCGCTGCCCGGTTAGTTGGCGGCGGAGGTCAACGAGCCACGCCTCAAAATCAACGGCCCAACCCTCCGCGTCGAGGCGGAGCAGAGAGTCTGCCATCACCACGAATGGAGCAGCTGACTGTCGCTGACAAGGGGAGGAGAGAAAGCAGAGGAGGGTAGTAGAGAGCGGTGGAGTATGATGGAGTGTGGTGGAGAGCAGTGGAGATCGGTGGAGTGAGATGGAGAGCGGTAAAGTGCGGTGGAGAGCGGTGGAGACTGTCGGCGGGAGTGCCGGCTTAGAGGGGAAGCCGAGGCCGGCGGAGTGGGGGGTGGCATCTGGTGACTACGGGCATCTGGCGGCGACGGGCGGGCGGCTACAGGCGGGCCAGCAGCTATGGGAGGGCTGGCGGCAGCGGGCGGCCAGCGGCCACGGCGGCAGGTGGCTACAGGCGGCCAGCGGCTATGGGCGGCTGGTGGCAACGGGCGGCCAGCGGCTACTGGCGGCTAGGAACGGGCGGCTAGCGACGGGTGGCTTGGGCTAGGGCTAGGACGAGGGCGGAAGCGCGGGTGGGCGGGATCCTAACCTAGCGTGATACCATCTTAGAGTAAAAAGTTGACTAGAATGATGGGGTACAAGGAAGGGAATATAACCTAAGGTGTTGTACTCTATATGAGCATGCACTTATCTAGCCTATAACATGTACAAAATATATGTTGACACTAATGTCTTCCTGGCGCTCTGATTGCAATTAGCCATGCCGGGTGCTCAGCTTTATCAGTGCGATGCGCTATGTGCCACTTAGTTCCTCGGATGACAGACAGTCCTTTTTAGACGTGCGGCAGAACATGGATATGCCAGAGACTTGGGTGTAAGGCATAAAGAGAAATACATGCCAATCGGTCCACTTTGGCAGTTCGAACTAGGTCGTAGGTAGTGGCTTGATTAATAAAGTGCATACATACTGTAGTCAAAGGTTGTATGTATCAAGTTTCTCAACTGAATAATCAGATGTGGAATGTAGCACATTGTCTGAGGGATTGAAAAGCATGCAAGCAACAAGCAATCAGACACCGTGTAACACTTCAATCCTCGCTTCCAGTGAGGGCTAAACCTGTAGCACTTGAGTTCTCACCTTCAGTGAGGGCTAAACGATCCAGTTCTTCCACGTGACTGGGTGCGCCATGCCCTAATTCATCATTCCGCATGACACACAGGCAACACCCCAATATTGGGACAGCGGGGCGCCTATTTAGACATAGTCATGCAAGGAGACAAAAAGACTCTCACGAGCTATCTCATCTCATCCACCAATGAGCTGACGTACTTTCTCCCTCCCCAGCCTCTCTCGAGGGCCATCGATTGCAGACGAAATTTGTCAGTTTGTCTGATTTTCAGAAGTTTTCTAAAAAATCAGATGAACGCCCTCCCTGCTCTCATGCCTCTCGCCCTCCCTGCACTCATGCCTCACTCCCTCCCTGCTCTCATGCCTCACTCCCTCCCTGCTCTCATGCCTCACTCCCTCCCTGCTCTCATGCCTCACTCACTCCCTGGGGAAGAAGGTGGGGAGGAAGGTGGGGTCAGACAGGGAGGGATGGGAGCTCAGACAGGGGGGAAGATGAGACCTGGTTGGGAGGGGGAGGTGAGCTCAGTCAGGGGGGGAAGGTGAGCTCAGACAGGGGGGAAGGTGAGCTCAGACAGGGAGGAAATTCTGCTCTGGTGTGGGGGGGGAGGTGGGCTCAGACAGGGGGGAAGATGAGACCTGGTTGGGAGGGGAAGGTGAGCTCAGTCAGGGGGGGAAGGAAGTCCTGCTCTGGTGTGGGGGAGGAGGTGGGCTCAGACAGGCGGGAAGATGAGACCTGGTTGGGAGGGGGAGGTGAGCTCAGTCAGGGGGGGAAGGTGAGCTCAGACAGGGGGGGGGAAGTCCCGCTCTGGTGTGGGGGGGGAGGTGGGCTTAGACAGGGGGGAAGATGAGACCTGGTTGGGAGGGGGAGGTGAGCTCAGTCAGGGGGGGAAGTCCCGCTCTGGTGTGGGGGGAAGGGGGGCTCAGACAGGCTGGGGCAGGTGAGCTCTGTTTTGGGGGGGAAGGGGGGCTCAGACTGGGGGGCAGGGTGAGCTCTGGCTGGGAGGGGAAGGTGAGTTCAGACAGAGAGGGAAGGTGAGCTCATACAGAGGGGGACGGTGAGCCCACATAGGGGGGGAAGTCCCGCTCTGGGGAGAACCGTAAGGCAGAGCGGGAAGACCCGTTGGGCAGAGTGGGGGAACGTATGACAGAGTGGGAGGAAAGTAGGGCAGAGTGGGGGGGAAGTTGGGAGAAACGCAGGGGAGAGCTGGGGGAAACCTAGGGCAGAGTGGGGGGAAACGTAGGGCAGGGAAGACCGAAACGAGGGATAAGGGGGGCAGAACAAGGGCGCGGAGAGAGGGAAACCGAGGGGAAGAGAGGAAGATGTGGGAAAATGAGGGGATGAGAACGGGCAATGGTGGCGAAGGGGAGCGACAGCGGGGTGGGGGAGGGGGAGGGGAAAACGGAGTGGAAGAAAAGTGGGAAACGGAGGGAAGTAAGGAGAACAGGGGTGAACAAAGGGGTGGGGGAAAACGGAGGGCAAGGGGAGGGGGGATGCACAGGGGGGAGAAAGGATGGCAGGAGGGGAGGAGACGGCGAGCAGAGGAAGGGGGGACGTAGGGCAAGGAGAGTGGGGGACGGCGAGCAAAAGAGAGGGAGGAACCGTAGTGCAAAGAGGGGAGCTATGTGTGACGTGAGAGGAGGAGATATGCGCACCTGAATTTGAGGGGAATCAGCGTGCGTGGTGTGGGGAAACTGTAGTAAGGAGCATGGCTAAGGGTTTAACAACGGTGCTGGTTTCGTAGCTAGGCACCTATGGCCCTTAGCTAGGTGCGAGCTGACGGCGAAGGCTCTGTCGAGAATGGGGGTGAGGGATGGAGAGGTAGCAAAAGTTATGGGCTAGAGAGGTCGCGAGTGTAATAAATAGGGTTAGGAGCTATGGCGCGGATCACGAGCAGCTCCCCGCTTGGTGTGTGCGACGAGGCAGGGATAGTCGTTAGAGTGCGCAAGAGGAGGGAGGGGAGGGGGGGAGTGGGGGATACTAGGGTGGCGTGATTGACGCTTGTGTAACGTGGTATGTCGCATGCTTTACTGCCTAGACTTGCCCACTCTATTTGTGCCCTGGGTTGTGCTGGGTGGAGTTAGTTTTGGGGCTAGAGGGCCCATTCACAAGATGAGAAATCTTCACTATCCCTAGGTTTCTGTCGCCTCGCTCCTCTGTGTGCTTGGTTGAGTATGTTCCTCATTTCATTTTGAATACGAACTCTCTCATCTCTTTTGCCTACTTGCGTGTTTGCGAGCGGCTCTCAGGCGGGTGGGGTCCGGGCATCGACAGCCGTCCACGCTTGTGATGTCGCTTGCGTTGGCGAGGCGAGGTCATTTCTTCCGTGGCCAGGGCCCTTGCCTTCGTGTGGACCGTGCCTGGGTTTTTTGCGATTGTGCACCCTCGCTATTTTCGCCACCCCTCTTCAAGGTTCAACATCCTTTGAACATTGAAGGGTCGAAGAGTAGATGTAGAGCGCTTACGGAAGCATTGATTGGTTGGGAACACTGTCAGTGTTATGAATGGGACTGCCGAGTAGCGCGGAGGGCAAAGGCGAAACTGTGAACGAGTGAATGACAATAAAATGAAAGAACAACAATATATATAAAGCCTAGGGTGATCCTGGATCGGAAGGTTCGGGAAAAGTGTCGAAGGGCCTCGATGTATCGTAGCGAGGTCTAGAAAGGCCCAGGAGGCTCGAACTGATAGGTCTGGAACCCTGGCGATGGTTCGGGACTGTTCGAGTCGTACGCCCTGTAGCAAGCCTCAGTTAGGAATTACTCATTCCTTACAGTCACAGTGAATGTAACTTAACAAAGTTGATTATGGTGAAGGAGATACTGGGTTTATATAGTGGCGCAAAAGAATGCGAGGGGTGTAACTAAGACGCACTTTGGAGGGGTACATTCCCATGGGTTTTAAAATCCGCCTCGAGTAACTGCCCGTTTTGTATTACATGGTCATTCCTATTGAAGTGAACCACGTGTTAAGGGTGGCTAGGATCTAGAGTTGGTGGAACTACGAGTAAAAGTCAGCGGAAGACTTTACACCTTGTATTGGATGTAAAAGTGAACCGCGTGTTTAGGGTGGCCAGGAGCTAGAGTTGGTGGAACCACGTCTCAAGGTAGCGAGAAGACTAGAATATGGCATACAATGTAGTTTTGTTCTAAGTGTTGTACTCCCTAAGGTATGCTCCCAGCTAACTTATAAACATATACAAATATATATGTTGCCACACCACCTAGGCTAGACAAGAGGCAGAGCTTGGCAAGACATACAATGCTTCGAGTGGCACTACTAGTCCAGCCTCAGAGGCAAGGGTCCGAAGACCGGTCAGCAAGGGTACAAAGAAAACAAGAGCAAACCAGGGCGGCACTACTAGTCCAGCCACTGGAACAATAGCCACCCAGCCAGTCAGGAAAATGTATATAAAAGAGTAGTACACAATCAAGGCCTCAGCAAGTGAGGAGCTACAGGAACTAGACCAAACTGTACACGGTGCCTCTGATGATCTCTAGGCTCAAGCGGAGCTCCTGTGCCGCCATGACACCAGCATAGAGCTCAGCCTCACAGCTAGAATGTGCAACAGACGACGAGCCGGTGGACCTCCACGAGACGCCACCTGAACCAAGGCTAAAGCAGTAGCCCTGGGAGGACCTGAGCGTCTCAGTATCGTCTGCCCACGAAGCGTCTGTGTGTCCTGTAAGGACCACTGGTCAGCGACCTCCTACCACTAGCCGCATGCCCGATGTACTTGCTAAATAATGCAAAACCCTCTAAGTGGCCGACCAGTGCTGTGGTCGGTGTCTGCCTGGGGCCACAAAGCGAGTCAGAATGCTGAGAGGGTATGCGAGATCTGGACGAGTGCAAGTTATCAGGCACATAAGGCAACCCACCAGCTCAGCGTACAAACCACTAGGGTCTACTGACTCGTTAGGGACTAGAGCCGAGAGCCTGTGGTCTACTGGCAGAGGTGTGGGCTGTGCGGAGGAGAACTGAAGACAGAACCTCTGAAGGACCTGGCGCACCAAGTGTGACTGTTTGAGAGTGATGGTGCGTGCTGCTCTGTCCCTGGAGATATGCAGGCCAAGGTAGCACCGCAAATCTCTTAGGTCAGTGCAGGTGTGTCTTCTCAGTAGCTCGGCCTTCACGGAGGCCAGTGCGTCTCCGTCTGCAGTAGCAAAGACCAGGTCATCTACGTAGACAAGGATGTAGAACGGAGTCCGGCCTGAGCTAACGAAAAGCGAAGGGTCTGCAGAGGACGGGAAGAACAGGCGAAGGTGCCGGTGAAGCTCGATGAGTAGTGCAGGTAGACCTGCTCGTACAGACTGCCCTGAAGAAACGCTGTCGAGAAGTCGAGGGAGTGCAGCTCGTAGTCACGCTGTGCTGCTACGTATAGCAGCGCCCAAAGCGTGGTCATCTTTGGGGTCGGGGCGAAGGTCTGGAAGAAGTCAACACCCTCACACTGACTGAAGCCTCTCGCGACGTAGCACGCCTTGAATACCGGCGGCTCTCCAGGGGGGCGCTCAACCTTGAAGAGCCACCGACCATCGAATACGTTCACCCCAGTAGGAGAGCTGCGTTGACATAGGTGCCGGTGGATCTCCAAGATGCCATCTCCACGTCCATGGCAGCTATCCACTGCGGGGTACAGAGTCCCGAGGTCGCCTCAACGTAAGTGCGAGGGGTTGGGATGTTAAAGGCGTCTGGTTCACCCTCAGGGACTAGCAGCATAGAGAAGAGATGAGGCGCGGCCTCAAACAGGAAAGCAAGCTCGTACTGCCCGTCCTCAAGGACATCACTGCCAAGGGCAGGAGCACCCCCGACAGACGGAGGACGGGAAGGATCACAGACCAGAGCGGTGGCGTAGTCAAGATGGTGGGTTGCAGCAAAGTCAGCGACGGCAGTGACAGGAGCATCAAGACTGGAGACAGGAATAGACAGGTCGGTAAGAAGAAAGGCGAGGGCCCGAGGAACAAGAGGAATGGCATTAAAAAGGATGTCAGACAGGGGAGGTGGAGCGACGGCCAGTGACGACGGAGGAGGAGACAGGAGGAGGGGACGACGAGACTCGTGGGAACGAAGCAACAAAGGGTGAGAGTGCTAGACAAAAGAGACAGGTGTGAGAGTACGACCCCGTTACACTAATTTCCCCTTTCCATATTTCCTTTCTATTTCATTCCTCTTTTTATCCTCATTTATTTGGTCTTTATTTCATCTCATTTGGTTTCCTATTCCTCCTTTTCCATTATCCTTTGGTTTATCATGTTATTATAATTATATCACCGACCAGGCTTGGGATGTACTGGCGCGCTATATCTAGCGTAATCCTGTCGTAATCCCTTAAAGCCAATAGCCTCGCGTGGCTATACGCATGGTGATTCTATTTCTAGAAGGGTCTATTTCCTTTAGATAGGATAAACCTGGTTACCTGATGTACTCTCGAAGTATAAAAGCACCTTGTACTGATTGATAGTGCAACATTGAGCAAACCTTTCCTCGGGACATTCGATCCTGTGACAACAGGAGAGGCACGAGAGGGACGGCGAGACCAGAAGTGGGACAGAGGCGTAAGGTCAGGAGTACACAGGAGGAGAACGAGAGGGAAAACGAGTTGGAGACGAGTCCGGCGGAGGAAACACAGGGCCGTAGACAGGCAGGGGATGCGACGGCGGGGGAGGCGCAGGCGGGTGTTTAGGGGAGGGAAGACTGAGGAGGCAAAGGGTGGACACTGGCGGCATCTGCTGCTATTGCTCGTGCTCCACGCTGACACCAGAATCTCCACCTGCACCACTGCTATCTCTGGGACAATCCACGCCAACACCCCCAGAGCGAGATCCCTCTCCAACACCGGTGCCACCCCAAGGATTGGCGGAATAGTAACCTCAGGCTAGCACCCTCCTCAACGCCCGCACCCCCAGAGCTCGCGGACCCCTGCGGCGGCTGCTGCAGCGGTGGCGGCGACTGCTACTGCTGCTGCGGCGGCGACGGCAGCGGCTGCTGCGATGGCGGAGGAGGAGACACTGGGGTGGGAACAGGCGGTGAGAACAGCACTGCCGGGCCACCAGAGTCAGCCGACTCCTCGACAGGGACAACCGACGGGAGGGGGGTGACGTGAGACACACCAGATGGGGAGGGAGAGGAGCAAAGGCTACCGGGGGAGTGGGAGCCAAAATAGGGGCGGGGAAACCGGGAGACCTCAGTGGGGAAAGCGGTGGTAGAAGGAGACAGACTCGTCAAAAGTTACGTCACTCGAGCGAAAGTAGCGGTGAGACGGCGGGTGGTAAAAGTGCCAGTCAGACGCGTCGAGAGGGAAGCCTAGGAAGGCATTGGGGACAGTGCGGGCAGTGAGCTTGTCCGTGCCAGAGGCACGAACGTGAGCAAGGCAGCTCCAGACATGGAACGCGGACACATCACCAGGGAACCCGGTCCAGAGAAGGGTCGGCGAATCCTGCGGCCGATGGGAGTGCGGCCACATGTTAAGTTGGAGAGCATGAGTTTGTCGCACTGGAGTGACCCTCTTCCTCACCAGACCTGAACCCGGATATTTTTCCCCACCAGTCACGACTACTTCGACTGCTGCACCGCTCAGAGACATACGGATCCTAACATGATTCTAATAGTGCAAGGATGCACTGTCAACCGTGCTATGTTACCCTAAGTTTCGTGGCAGATACGCAATTTTTCGCCACTCTGCTCGTAATTTTTACCTACAACGGTGCGATGAAGACGATCCATGATAAGACGAGACCAATCGACTAATGGCATCTTTGGCCACACCTCAGCATGGCTAGTCTTAGAGATAACATTCAACATGAAATCGTGCACAGTACTCTTGCATACGTTCAAATACTTCGCGATTTTCCTAGTGCTCACCCCCTTATGCAAAAGCGTGGGTCCAGGAAGAGTGCGAGAAGATCCCTGGAAAGGTTTGCACTAACCTCATAGATAACATGCCTAGGAGGGTGTAGGTGGTGATCAAGGCCAAGTGTCGGTTGACTATATACTATTTTTGCTAGTAACTAGTTT